TAAAGCCAAAAGACAGCACCTAAAGATGATCAGATCCAGCATTCTGCCTTCAGAAAGTGGCTGAGACACCAAGATGAAAGAAATTGCCCCATGTTCTTGTTCAGAGGCTGAAGAAGTGGAAAGGACCAGAATCTGGGTTTTCTATTTCTGAAAGCCATATTATTCTCTGTTTCTTATATGAATTAATAACTTACCTCAGAGAATCTACTTGTGTCTGTTATCAAAAGCAGCATCTTCGTTACCATTCTCTGTCCCTTTTGATTTGGCAACAGTTTCTAGGAGTAACAGAGTTAGACAATTCAGAATTCCATACTGCTGGATTCAAAGTCAGAAAACTGCTAACCTGAATACTATCACAGACCTTGTAGATACAGCAATCACCCACCTGTATTATCTCTCTCTCTCTCTCTCTCTATCTCTCTCTCCCCCTCCCTCTTCCTTCCTCCCTCCCTCCCTCTCTCCCTTCTCTCAGAGGCCAGACCCCAAGGTTTAAACACAGTTGGAAATATAACTAAGTTTATCATTGAATATTTCCCACTGACTTCTATTATTTTTTGGTGATGCTTTAGAACAGATTTTTTTTTTTGCCTGTAAGATAATGTTGAGGAAAGCAAAAAGATTTTATAAACTAGTCTTTAAAAAATAATTAAAAAGAAGCTATAAAATACCACTACCCTACTGAACTAAAAACCACACTGCTACATCTAATGAGGCTGCTCATACAGGAGCATAATGTGAAGGAGCCACTGGTGCCCGCCTGTTGTTCACAGTTAGTCTGTGGTCCAGCTGGAGGCCAGGACAACATCTCCTGTTGTCAGGAGTGAGGGAGCTCATGGTTTACTTCCTTGATCTGATGAAGGCTGCTAAGAGCTGTTAGTTGTTTATTTATTTTTATTTTTTGGGTGGGAATGGGGTTTGAACTCTAGGCTTTGTGCTTGCTAAAGCCACACCTCCAGTCTATTTTTCTCTGGCTATTTTGGAGATGGGGGTGTTGCAAACTATTTCCCTGGACTGGCCTCAAACTACAATCCTGCTGATCAGCCTCCCAAGTAGCTAGGATTACAGGTGTGAGCCACTGGTTCCCAGCAGTTGTTTGTTTTAAAATAGCAACAACCACCAAAACAAACAAACAAACAAGCACAAATGCCTATAACAACTGCATGTGCACTATTCAAAATGGCCAATTTGAATAATGACAAACATCTGACAAAAACGATTCTAGTTTGGTGCTGTGCTTCTTTGGCTATTCATTTTGATAACAATTAGCTAATCAGATCAGCTGCTTTTAAGACTGTTTCTTCATAAAGGAAGGTGGCTTTTTGACAGAGGCCAATAGGAGAAGGGGACCAGGAACTAGAGAAAAGGTTAGTTCGAGAAGAATTAATTTAGAAGGTAACACATATATACAGGAAAGCAATGCGAGTAAACTCCCTGTATAGCTATCCTTATCTCAACTAGCAAAAACCCTTGGTCCTTCCTATTATTGCATATACTCTCTCTTCAACAAAATTAGACACAAGTTTCTGCCTGGTAGCAAGTGGGTAGCGGGGGAGAGGGACAAGGTGGGGGAAAGACAGGGGATGGGGAAGGGGGGAGACATGACTCAAATATTGTATGCACATATGAATAAAAGAAATTTTAAAAAAGGACAAAAAATTTAAAAAAAAGGAAGGTGGCTTTTAAAGATTATTGTCCAGGAAAGCATATATCTACTTATTGTCTTAAAATTACAGATAAATGGAAAAAAAAAACCCAAAAGGCAAAAAATGACCCACCAGAGAGCTATCTGGGATTATAAACATGGATAACTCCTGTTAAAAGCAAATTTAGTTTATACGTTTTAATGTCAGTTTAGAAAAGAAAATCTCATAAACCAAAATCCAGATTTGGTATTAACCTTAAATTACTGAGGCAATATCACCTTTTAGATATGTTGGTAACTGCATCAATTTTACAAAGACATGTAACTTCTCTGAAGGTTGCTCTGTTGAACCACTGAAGTAATTTCTTTAAATGGCTTTGAACAAAAGGTCTATTTCTATTGCACCTTGTTCCAGGAAATTCTTTATTGTTCCTTCTCTTTCAGCATTTCCAGAAAATGCCAATAATGTTAGATTTCTAGAAATTTTGCTTAGGTTAATTTTAAAGTTATTCCATAAGTCAAATTCTTTCTTTTTCTTCTCCATGTCCCTGTCCCTGTCCCTCTCTCCCTGTCCTCCTTCTCTCTCTCTCTCTCTCTCACTGTGCTAGGGATAGAACCCAGGATCTCCTGCATGCTATGGACTTACACACCCCATTTAAGTCCAATTTTTTTTAAATTACTAATTTTTAAAACACTGGTTTTGAGACAACAGGTCAGGTCACTTTCTTTCTTTGACATTGTTCCCTCTCTCCAGTTTACCCCTCTTTTTTTGTGGATATTAGAAAAACAGTTAAATCCAATCCACAGTAATTTAGCAAATATTACTGAGCACCTTCTTGATGCCTAGTACAAATGTTTCAAAAGTGTCTCAGTGTCCAGTGAAGAGGACCTGAATAGAACTGAACACCATGACACCCACATTTCAACCAATAACCTGTAGTTCTTGGCTTTTCAAGTCTAATGGCCCATACTTTGTCCCAGATCTGACTCTCAAATAGTCCTGTTTCACTTTACTAGGGCCAAATCACAATAAGAATCACGTTTACTTCTGGGCATCACAAATTTGCCTGATTGGCAGAGTGAACAGTGGGTTCTGATTTATGGGTGGAAGTTTGGGGAAAGGGACACTGTATGAACTGGGATGATTGGCAACATTAAAGAGGCAAGACTTGTATATAGCTCTACAAAACAAAAAACAAAAACAGCATCAGCCAAGCATGGTGGTATTTACCTGTAATTCCAACTACTCAGGAGGCAGAGGATGAAAGTTCAAGGCCAGCCTGGTGACCGTATCTCAAAAACAGAATACAAACCAAAGGGCTGAGTGTGTGACTAAATTGTAGAGCACTTGCCTAGCATGTTCAGACCCTGGGTTTATTATTAGTATTTGACTTATGTTCTCTTAGACTATAGAGTTATTGGTGAAAGTTGTTTTACTGTTTTTATTGCTTATTTTGCTGTACATTTATTTACATACTTCAGTGTATTATAGACTACTTGGCTATCTCCCATGTGCCCCTTCACTCTCCACCCTCCTCC